ATTTCCTGAAAACTGTTTATCAAAAAGTCATGATCCAAAAAAAAGTTGATATTTTGCGGTGATTGGCTTGAATTTGAGAAATAAATGGAAAAATATTTTTCATCGTTTGGAAAGAAAATTTTGATTTGATTGTCCTAAATAGACATATACTATTTGAGCACTAGTAACTTGTGAATGGGTAGCGGGAGAACTAAGCACATGCACCGCAATCCCGTATCCGGTCCAACCATGGGAACTAGGACATAAAGCACTGGGTTCTTGGGCCCAACCTTTATGGACTCGGGCACAAGCACCATGGACCCGGTCTCGGGTCTGGCCTCGATGGACCCGAGCTCGAGCGTAGGGGAACTGGACGTCGACACTAGGGTCTCGAGCTTGGATGCTGGGAACTCGAGCATAGGCACCGGGGTTTCGAGCTCGGTCTCGATGGACTTGGGGTCCTTGGAGTCAAGGACACAGGCATGGACACCGGGGTGCTGAGCTCGGCCTTGATGAACTCGGGCTTAGGCGCAGGAGATTCGGGCACGGGCACTAGCATCTTCGGCCTTGCCTTATAGACTCGGACTTGGACTTGGGCGTCAAGGATTCAAGCACGGGTTTTGGGGTCCGAAGCCCGGCTTCTATGGACCGAGACCTATCCATGGACCGAGGCCTAGGTGCTGGGAACCGGGGGCACGGGCACATGGCTCTTGGGCCTTTCCTCTATGGACTTGGGCCAAGGCCCCAGGGAGCCAAGTAATGTTACCGAGGTCCAAGGCCCAGCCTTTGTGGACTCAAGCTTAGGTGCCGAGATCGTGGGCAGGGGAGCCAGTGTCCCGAGCCCCACCTTTGTTGACACAGGCGTGGGCATCAGGGTTTCAAGTCCGGCCTCTTTGGACATGGACTTGGCCTCAATAGACGTCAGTGGATCCAGCCTCAGCCTCTAGACCCGGGTCCACTGCGATGGGCGGGGGAGCAAGCGTTGTGGTTATGATGCTAAAGCGCAAAAATATGGGTAGCCCCCACAACTTCTTTTAGATATCCTTTGTTCAGATGTTAAGAAACTTTGTTCAAGTTAATGTTATGAGATGCTATTTTCGACCAAAAAATATATCTTGAAAATCCTAGAGTTGTTAGCAATATGTGAGAACAAATGGATCAACCAGGGCATGGACACGATCAATTTTTAGGACAGATAAGTATTGCTTGGTTGGAGCATTTAACATGACAAATCTCATACGTTTCTACGATCTTTTTTCAGTTCTTGTTTTAATTTGTAAGAACAATTCTCGATCTCCTGATTTATGTCAAAGCCGATGCAATTGTAGAGCTCTTCTACTTAATTTGTATTCGACTAATTATTTTTCTTCGATTTGAAGATTCGTGGTGTTCATTCTATTCCGAGTTGTTCGATTTCTTTCGGTTCTTAATTAAACAGTAATTCGTTAGAAATTCTGTTTTTCCTCTGTAGTTTAATGTGGCAAATGCCTCATTCACTTGACGATTCTCCATTTTCTTCATATTTCATCTTCGTCTATAAATGTTATTGTCTTTCCTAGGTCACGATTTTCGTTGACCAAACAATGAAAATTTATTTCCTGTAGCCCTTTAAAAATATGTTTATAGCTTATCAAACCTTCTTAAGATCTAATAATCCTCATGGTTTTATAAATGCTAATGTTTTTCATTTAATGCTTATTTTTTACATAGTATTAGAGATAGAGGTCTATGTTGAGTTGCACATGTAAGTTGTGTAAGAAAAGTTCAATATCATATAATTGTTGTGGTGTTGAGTAGTTAATATATTCGAGTTATCTCATAATTCACCGGCTTAAGTTTTTGAGTGAAAGTAAGTCCAACTAGATATTTTGTCGGGTTCGAACTTAGGTTCCTTCTAGGCAATCTCCCCGATGAACGTATCGGGCTTCTAGTGCGCGCTCCCAACAATCTCCAAGGTCAAATGCTCATGCCTCCTTCTATCTATTCGTGAATTTTCCATCTTTATTATGTGCTAAATTTCAAGAAGTCTTTCACCTTCTCTTGTTTGGTTTTCATGCTTCTAGCTTTACATGCTAATCAATCTTTTAAATGAGTAAGATTGTCATGATCTAAAGCATAATCGGCATCATTCTCTAGCAGCTTAAGCTAATATGTGCACCTAATTGAACAGATCTGGTGACCCCATGTCACATAATAAGAGAGCTCCTTTCCACTATATCTCTGAATTATTATGAACAAAACGAATTATGTCCTACTAACTCTCACATTCAAAGAAATTAGCTTATCCATTAAACTGATATTTTCACGAAACATTCATGTTAAGAAAAATCATATAGTATCTCTTAATTTCAATTTTCCAAACCGATGGGATAATTCTGATCGAGTGGTTCCCTATGATGGTTGGTTTGGTGATTGGGAATACCTCCAATTGCAAGTTGACAGGGCGTGATGAGCTCGTCCAAAGCAAAAAGGCCACAAGGAAAGGACGAGGAAAAAAATAGGCCAACGTGGTCGACGGGACAAAATTTGGTCATGGCCGCCTTTGAAGAGCAAAGTACCATGTTGTCAACCAAAGCCGAGTAATAATATCTATCCGTCGCAACGACGACCGATTTTCAAGTTAGATCGTTGTAAAGCGTTTTAAGATAATAAATTATAAAATTGCGTATTCGGTAGTTTATTTAGAAATGTTGGCATTTAATATAGAATAATGCAAAATACATTGAGGCCGGTATGTTATATGATGCGATAAATTTATTATCGAATGTTGAAATAATGATGGCTTACTTGTCCGAGAGGCTCGTTTGAAGTTTCTCGCTTTACTTAGTATGTTAATTTAGTTTTACCAATCTCGATAGAGTGATAGCGGTGAGCGTAAGAGAGGGAAAAGTGTCAAAAAAGTCCTAAACATTTTGTATCGGTGCCAATTTAATCCTAAATCATTTTTTTTACCAATTCAGTCCTAAACCTTTTGTCTTTTTGCCAATTTAGTCATTCCGACCAATTTAGGTCGGATTTTGCTTAAGTGGACGACGACCGGCCACCGGCGCGGACGTGGATAACTTTTAATAAAATTTTAATATTTTTTGAATTTTTTTTCCTCCTCTCCCTCCCTCCAGTCGGTCGCCGGTCCAGCGACTGGCCAAAGGCCAAATGCCAGCGAGGCTCGCCCTCGTCGGATTGCCATGAGGGCATCCTCGCGCTGGGTGGGCGAGGCTCTCGCTCCAGCGAGGTCGGGCCTCGCCCAGCCGCTGGCGAGGCTCGAGCCCTTGCCAGAGGCCTTCGACCTCGCGGCCTCCGGCGAGGTCGGGCCTCACCTAGCCGCAGGCGAGGCTCAAGCCCTCACCAGAGGCCACGAGGTCGAAGGCCTCCGGCTAGGGCTCGAGACTCGCCAGCGACTGGGCGAGGCATGACCTCGCCGGATCTGGTGAGGTTGATCCTCGTCGGCGACTGGGCGAGGCACGACCTCGGCAGATCTGGCAAGGTCCAGCCTTGCCCAGCCATGGCAAGGCTCACCTTCGCCGTTGTTGGTGAGGGCGAGCATCGCCAGTGGCCGGCAACCGACTTGAGGAAGGAGGGAGGGGAGGGAAAAAAATAAAAATTCGAAAAATATTAAAATATTATTAAAAGTTATCCATCTCAACGCCGATGACCAGCTACCTACCGGCCGGCGTTCACGTCAGCAAAATTCTGCCAAAATTGACCGGAAGGACTGAATTGGTAGAAAGACAAAAGGTTTATGACTGAATTGACACAAATACAAAAGGTTTAGGACTGAATCAGCACCCAAAAAAGAGAACTAAATTGACATCAATGCAAAAGGTTTAGAACTGAATTGGCACCAAAAAAAGGTTTAGGACTAAATTGATACAAATGCCAAAGGTTTAGGACTTTTTTGACACTTTTCCCGTTAATTTATTGTGACGTTCTTGTAAGTAACATATTGATTCATGCCACATCCGATGCAATATCTATTAGGCTGCGTTTAGTCGTCTGGATTTCTAGCCGTGATAAGACTGGATACGATAGGATATGAAATCCAAGGGATTTGCTATATCCTATCTACTGTTTGGTGAATCATGAAAATAAAGCCGGATATTTTCTCATCTTACTATATCCATGCTATGAACGTCATATTAGTGTAAATAAACCTAAAAATTGCACAAACGGAGGTGATAAAAATCTTTTACGACACTCTTACCTACTTCATTTTTATTTGCTTATTTTTTTATATCATTTTTCCATCTTTTTTAATTATTTAATTATTTTATTTCTTTTTTCCCCTTCCATCATTCTCTAATAAAATTTTATTAAATAGTAAACTATACTAATATTCCTAAAATATGTACTAAATATAAATACATTAATATTGATTTATATATATGAAATTTATATCACAAGATATAAAGAGATTTTGAATATATAAATAAAAATAAGAATAAATAAAAACGAATTTTTTTTATTTTGAAATTTTTATACTAAAATTCAAATATTATTTTAATTTTATTAATTTAACAAGTTTGTTATTCGAGAAAATTAACTTTTATATTATGGTTATTAGAAATCCTATCCACCTTTATCCCACATTCCCATAGGATAATTTTATCCGGGCTATATCCCTCATATATCTGACTTTATCCTATCTTAGGTAGACACCAAATATGGGATAGGATAAAATTTATTCTATCCTGAATTTTATCCTGACGGCCAAACTTAGCCTAACAAAAAAATTGTACCCTAGCATCGGTCACTGGCCTAAAGCATAGACAATATATATGAAATTACAACATGCACAACCTAACGAAATATTTTGGGCAATCGTTTCAAGTCGTGGCGCATTGACTCCCCTAGGTATTCTACGAAATAACAAATAAAGATAGGGATCAAACTCCCATATACTTTATGAAAACCGACATATCAAACTAAAGTTAAGATTGATATTAAGTCCTATTGACTTAGTCTCTTGCCATATTTATTTATTATTTCTATCTTCGTCGTCGATCCACTGGCCGATGACATTGACTTGGGTTTAGATTTTAAATGTCTAGAGGGAGTTCGAGATTGAAAAGTCCAATCAAACCTCCTATAATTCTCTTCAACTGCTCTCTCTTCATTTCCAATCCTTTATCCCTTCTTCTTCTTCATCTTCTCTTCCTCAAGAAAGTGTTCACTGAACATAAGGATCGACAACAACATGGATCGAGAGCAAGGAGAGATGCAGTTCCTCGGCCTCTTCGGCATCTACAAAGAGTCCTACAGAGTCATATTCTCATGGAGGAAAATCTTCAGCCAAATTACCTTGGCCTTGATCCTCCCTCTCTCATTCGTCTTCCTCCTGCACATCCAAGTCTCCGACGTCCTCTTCTCGAAGATCGTCCACAACAAGATCGAGCTCGACGAGACCCGCCCTGAGACCGACCGCTACAACAAGATCTCTGATGTTCTCTCCAAGGAGTGGGCCGTCTACTTGATCATCAAGACCTTCTACTTCACTGTCCTGCTTGTGTTCTCCCTCCTCTCGACCTCGGCCATTGTCTACACCATCGCCTGCATCTACACTGGCCGCGAGGTCGCGTTCGGGAAGGCCATGAGCGTGGTCCCCAGGGTCTGGAGGCGATTGATGGTCACCTTCTTGTGCGTCTTCATGGCCATATTCGTGTACATCGTGGTCACTGTGCTGATCCTTTTCACGTGGGCACTCCTGATCGGCAGCACAAATTTAGGCCTCGTGATCTTGGCTGTCCTAGGGATCGCTTACTTGGTCGGGTTCGTGTACATCACGCTAGTGTGGCAACTGGCGGGTGTGGTCTCCGTTTTGGAGGAAGATTACGGGGTCAAAGCCATGATCAAGAGCAAGTGCCTGATAAAGGGCAAGATGGGCGTGTCCATGCTCATATTCGTCCCGCTCAACATATCTGGTTATCTAATTCAGTTCGCGTTTGAGAGGTTGGTCGTTCATGGGCGCTCAACAGAGACGGTAGGTAGGTTTGGCTATGGAGCGTTGTGTTTCTTGCTTCTTTCCATGCTGATGCTATTGGGGCACGTCGTCCAAACGGTGATCTACTTCGTCTGCAAGTCGTACCACCACGAGAGCATCGACAAATCGGCGCTGTCGGATCATCTCGAAGTCTATCACGGAGAGTATGTTCGTCTCAAATCCAAGGATGTTCTACTTGAGCAATTCGACGTTTAACTCTTTGCTGTGTTTTGTGCACTATAAAAATGTCGTCTATCTTTTTATTTTGGGAAATTGCTAAGCTAGCTATAAGTTCTTAATTTCATATAAATATGCGATAAACAAGCCTGTATTTTTGTGCCTAGCGCTTGACATGCGGCGGATTTGAGCTAATACGTCTTTCCCGAGGTGTGTTGACTGTTTATTTGTTCCAGAAAAACGATTATATCTTCCTGTGTTTGGCTTAAATTTGAGAAATAACCGGAAAAATATTTTCCGTTGTTTGGAAAGAAAAATCTGATTAAATTATCCTAAATAGACATATATTATTTGAGCACTAGTAACTTGCGCATGGATAGTGGGAACAAGGTATGGGCACCAAGGTCTGGAATCTAGTCCCACCGAGAGGACCTGGACACGAGTGACGTGGTCCTAGGCCTAGTCTTGATGGACTTAGGCGTGAGCGCTAGGGACCCGGTCCCGGGTCTAGCCTCGATGGACCCGCGCTCGAGCGTAGGAAAACCAAATATGGACATTAGGGTCTCAAGCTCTGGTGTTGGGGACCCGGGCACAGGCCTAGGGGTCTTGGGCTCGGTCTCGATGGACCTGGGGTCCCTAGCATCGAGGACCCAGGCACAAGCATCGAGGTCTCGGGCTAAGGCGCAGGAGATTCGGGCACGAGCATTAGCATCCCAGACCTTGCCTTGATAGACTTAGACTTGGACTCAAGTGTCGAGGATCCGAGCATGGGTTTTGGGGTCCTGACCTTGGCTTAAATGGACCAGGGCCTAGCCTCCATGGATCGAGACCTAGGTGTTGGGAACCTAGGGCATGGACACAAGGGTCTCAGGCCTTGCCTCTAATCGGGCCAAGGCCCCAGGGAGCCAAGTAATGATACCGAGGTTCAAGGCCTAGCCTTTGTGGACTCGGGCTCAGGTGTCGAGGTCCCAAGCATGGGCATCGATGTCTAGAGCCCCACCTTTGTTGGCACGGGCCTAGGCATCGGGGTTCCAAGTCCGGCCTCTTTGGACATGGGCTTGGCCTGAATAGACCCTAGTGGACCCAGCCCCAACCTCTAGACTGGGTCCACTACGAAGGGCGGCGAGTAAGCATTGTGGTTAGGGTGGCCAAGTACAGAGATTCGGGTCCAAGTATCGATATATAGTCATATTTTTGGAAAATGATGTCGACTTTTTAAAGAGGAAACCATTTTTTTGAATTTAAGCATAAGCTTTCCGTTGACTAGGAAAAATCTTTCCGTTGACTCATTTTCCTAGACAATTTAAACACTGAAAAATGAAAAAAAAATTGTTTTCCCAAAAATTATTTTTTGCAAAAAAAATGGAGCCTAAAATAAAAGAGTTTTCCAAGTAATTACGAGGTGCGGGCTTATGTTGACTCTTAATTCTTCTTGCCCAAAACGCAGAAAAATATTAGGCAGTGGATGGTGCCTCGTCTGTGAGAATGAGATCCAAGGTGGTAACTTTTTCGTGTTGATTATTACTACTTTGTATTGAAAAAGAAAAAAAAAATCTCTCAAATATTTCTTCTTCCAACTAATTTCATTGTTTGACAAACATGGTATATCATAGAGTTGAGCATTCATAAATGGTAGCTTCAACTTGATATTTTTTAATTGACATGTGTTCAGTAAACTTTTTATGATATTTTGAAATTGACAAAACAATTCATGAACTCTTTAAGAGCTTGATAAATGCAAATATTGTTTAAGCTTCAGGTAATACTCTAATCCGCATCAAAGGAACTTAGACGTACAAAATGAAAAGATTCATGAGGATTGGAGGGACCTATATGAAAGGATGAAAAAGTCTAGGAAATGTGAAATTCACAAAACTTGGATGTACCAAGGTGAAGAGAACTAAAGGATCTATATTACTAGTGTTCTCAAAGTTGCCAAATGGAAAGCAGTATAATATCATAGGGATACTTGATATAACCAGGAACTGCTGATATAAGCTTATATTACTGTATCACATGACGACTTACAATTTCTAAACAATAATAATAACTAATTATTTGGCTTGGATTCCTAAATAAAGATGTTGATTGATCATCTATTTGAGGAAAGATTGATCACGTGAAAGATATTGACTGTGTGTAAGATCTTGATTGATAAACAATCATCCATAAGGAAGAATTATTTCCAAAGTTTGAGCTACTTAGTTTTTCGAAACTAGAAGATTTGATTGTATGGACGACCAAATCTCTACAATCCCGGACTAATTGATTTCAATGGCTAAATTGATCTACTCAACAATCGTCCAATTGATAGCTTGGAAATTGATACTTGTGAAAATTGTCCAACGGGAAGATTGAATACTGATGAGTATAAAAGGAAATTAAGAGACACTGAAATAATTAAGAAAACAAGAGATGAGCAATACTCATCCAATAGACAGAGAAAACTTTACATCTTTATACTATATTTCTAAGTGTACTACAAATGTAATCTCATTGAGAAGTGTAGCAGTGTCATTGTTTATGCTTAGGTGTGAGATAATTTGATTTATCCGCTTAGGTATAAACAGCTCCAGCTTTGGAAAGAAGTGCTTTGATTATAAGCAGCACATACTACATATAACGTCTGGGAGAGTAAATATAGACTCACACCAAATCGGGAATTGCCGAGGGGGTGGGTGTAGGTGTGGATTAGTGGTCATGGGCAATGATAAGGTTTCTCTATAAGTTATGACTAGTTTTGAGGATTACATCGGTGTTATATGCAAGGAGTTGGGTAGTGGAAAGATTATGAGAATAACTTTCCCATATGGGTTAACTAATTATGAGGGGAGACTTATGTTGCGGAAGCAGCTAAAATGTATCCACTCTAACAATGTTCTCCCATAGGTATGCATAGGAGACTTCAATGAAATATCATATCATTAGGAAAAGGTAGGAAAACGAGCAACATATCATTACAAATTAATGGCATTTTGAGATCTTTTGAATGAGTGCTCTTTGATGAATGTTGAAAGTAAAGGTCGCGCCTTCACTTGGGCGTATAACAGAGAGGGGGATGCCTTGGTAAGAAAGAGGTTGGATAGAGCTCTTTGCAACATAGATTGGATGGTTATGTTTCCTAATGCTCAAGCCTTTGCATTACCGGTAATTAGATTGGACTATAGTCCAATTATCCTTTCTTTGTATCCTAACTTAGTTAAGGAAAAAGGTGTTCAAATTTGAAGCATTTTGGTTAGAAGACAAAGAGTGTGAAGAAATCATGAAAGCAGTGTGGAGTGATCCAAAATTAAATCAGAAGAATTTCCTAGGCAAGTTGAGGAAGGTCTCGGGCAAGCTGGCAACATGGAGCAAAAAGATATTCTTAAAATGCCAATTGATGCATAATCGATTAGTGGTGCGTTTTTGGACCAGTTGGACATGCAGAAGTCCAAACAGAAGGCAAAACGGTGATGTGACTAGAACCGGCAGCCCTGGTTGACGACATCGGATCGAGCTCAAATTCAGTCATTTGAAGCGAAACGGCGGTCTGAACAAAACTCACCGCCTTTGGCCGTGATTAACGATGGATTTTAGCGATTCGGGATCGTTTACATGGATTTTTCTATTATTTTAATATTTTTATGGGTTTTAATTTTAAGGGTAGTTTTGTAATTTTGATATTTTATGATTTATAGTTCTAGTAGGGTTTGGTTTAGGGATATATAGGCTTGTTTTAGGATTCTTTTTGAAGGACAGAACACTATCATCAATATTGAATTTCGGGATTTCTCTCCCTAAGCAAGATTTTGCTTGAATTACTCGCTGAACGCTACGTCAGGTGGTATCAGAGCCTATAGCGACTGGAGGTGGTATCAGAGCCTATAGCGACTGGCGGTGGTCTTCGTGACGATGATCAGGAGACTGGAGCCCCAATCTTTAGGGACGACGCGTTGCAACGTTTGGAGCAGCGTTTAATGGAACGCTTGCATCATCGAATCGATCAAAGTCTTCATCGTTTCGAAGAACGATTTGACGAGTTAACATATCAATTTGAAGGTCTCGGCGTTGATGTGAATCGGAATCGGCGAAACTGTAGAAGACCGGGTGCAGATCTTGCTCGCGGTGATCCTATTGATAGGCTTGTTCCTGTCCGTAGGCAGAATAACCCTCTGTTTTCAAAGAGTTCGGAAGAAGAAGAAAACGATTATTTTGATGAGGAACGTGCTGATTATGGCGGTAGACATCGTCATGGAGGATTTCAAAGAGGATATGATAGGAGAGATGGAAGACGACGTTACGACAATCGTGAAGGTAACGACTTTAAATTGAAAGTCGATATTCCTTATTTTAATGGAAGTCTGGACATAGAAGAATTTCTGAATTGGATTGCTAATATAGATAGATTTTTCGATTATATGGAGACCCCTGGTGAGAAAAGGGTGCGATTAGTAGCCTGTAGATTAAAGGGGGGTGCGTCTGCATGGTGGGAGAGATTGCAGAATAAGAGAGACCGAGAAGGGAAAGAGAGAGTTCGAACTTGAACTAGGATAAGGAGGCTGCTGAAACAGGAGTTCCTTCCACCCGACTATGAACAGATTATGTTCCAGCAGTACCAACATTGCTAGCAAGGCAATCGGACTGTACATGAGTATACACCCGAATTTATGAGATTGGCGGAGCGGAATAATCTATCGGAGACGGAGGGACAGCAGGTGGCCAGATATCTTGATGGTTTGAAATCCTTCATTTGAGATAAAATTGGGGTGCAGTTTCTGCAAAATTTAACTAAAGCGAAGAATATGGTGATGAAGGCAGAATTGATGTAGCAAGACAAGGGAAAAAGAGCATACGAAAATTATCAAGGTTTCAGTTCGAGCAGTTTGATAGAGAAGAGTGGCTTCAACAACCACAATAACATAAGGCGAAATCAAGAAGATAAGGTATTAGAAAGGCATCCTATGAACGAGTCGAGGGATAAGGGAACGCAAGCTCAGAAAACTGCGAACCCTAACCCTTATGCTAAACCAACCGCGATAAAGTGTTATAGGTGTAATCAACCTGGACACCGATCTAATGAATGACCTCAAAGAAAAATCGTAAACGTAGCAGCGAGAGATGAGGAAGAAGATGGGTATTACTGTGAGCCAGATGGTGAAGAAGACGATTTTGAAGATGAAGAAGGGGAAGTAAATTGTGTGGTGCGCAGGATGATATTGGCCCCAAAACAGAAAGAT